AGTGGGTTCATCCCTGAACCAGCGGATCTCCAGTCCCTCAGCGCTGATCCTGGGTGAGAGGTAACAGGGCAGGACAGTGTCTTCACCAGCCACAGTGACAACAGGATCAGCTGGACCAAGAACCTGAAACGTCTCTGGAGAGAGAAATGAGACACAGACTGAGACTCACATTGTCCCACAACATCACCTGTCCCAGACACCCTCACACGTTACAGAGAGAGAAAAAACACAATTTCACACTGTCACACACTCTGAGACTCTCACTGTCACACAACCATACTCTCTAAGACTCATTGTCACACAGTCACTCACTCTGAGACTCTCACTCTCACACAACCACACACACTGACTGAGACCCTCACTGTCACACAGTCACACACTCACTCCGAGACTCTCACTCTCACACAAGGTGTCGACCGTCTCTACGCTGAGATAACGACACGGCTTCAACAGTCCCTAGGCTGAGATAACGGTATGGCGTTGCACTTTCACCCTGAAGCAACGGGACCGCGCTGCCCTGGAGAGTCAGTGGGAGGGTGAGGGTGAGGAGCTGTACCTGGTCTGGAGACAGAGGGCTGCTGGAGAAACAGGACGATCAGAAACAGACGCTGTGGGCGACCAGACTCCATCACTGCAACACAAGCACACACAGGCTCACTGACAGCACTGACAGCCCTGCTTTCTCTCGGAAAGACACCCAGCCCTTACACTGCTGTCACACATGCTGCATCACTGATCGGGACTGCTGACATTGCAGCAGGCTCATCAGGGCTCCTCTGAGAGCTGCTTTTCAGACACTGTCAGGGTGACCTGCCCCTCACTGGAACAGGGGAGTTCACTCTGTTCAGGCTGGGAGCCCCTTCCTGAGCCAGATCTCTTAACCAGAGCCCCGTTAAAAACCAGTCTAGAATCACTCCACATCACCAAGCTATTAATTAAAATAATGTGCAAGGATATCTACACAGACTGTACCGTGAGAGCAGATCGAGTGTCTGAAAAAGACACTGCAAGATGTGGGGCGAAAAGTAGTCTATAGTTTCTGGGCAGCCTCTCACAGAAATCCTCAGGGCCAGGTGATTAAATAACAACACTCTTCAGACCAGGAGCCTGCGAAGCAGTGAGCCAATCAACACTCAGGCACAGGCCAGGGTAGTCATAATGTTTAATAAAACACTGCACATGGTTAATGAATAAAAGAAGCAGCCATAAACTCAAAGCCTTCATTTTCCTTGGATGTACTTTACACTTTCCAGGAGCAGAGAGGAGGTAAGGACAGATAGGCAGGGTCACTCTATAAACACCTCTGTTTTAAACATCTATAAACTCTGACAAGTTGTGATCAGAAAGAGGGGCTGTGATTCACTGGAGCAGCTGAGTGAGAAGGAGCTGTAGCAGTCTCTGAACTGGGTGTCTCCCGCAGCCTCGGCGCGCAGAGTTACTGGATATATGCGTAAAAGAAGTGTCAGAGATTTAGAATCTGACATATCCTCCCAACTTCTGTTAAACACCTTTTCCTCTCATCCCCAGCTTCCTAACGGATAGAGGCTCAGGATAAAGGCCATTTCTATCGCAACAACCATTAAAATCACCTCCTAACAGCATCCTCCACAGACTGGC